CACTGCCCGCCCCCCCACAGCCATACTGGTCACCACTGGAGTGTCTCCCTCTGGTCCTTCATCAGCTCCCAGCTCACGTTCCCTTTCGCCCTGATCTGCCGGTACCAGAGCCCCATGTGCCCTGCCCACTCTGCTCTGTGCTGGCTGAGCCCCCACTGTGCAGGGCGCTGGGGCTACAGGGTGACTAAGTCCGCGTCATCTTGGCCCCCCAGGAGCTTACATTCTGCCCTGGGGAGGGCGCAAGAGACAAATAAGTAACCAAAACCAAGGGAATTGCAGATTCTGAAGGTTTATGATGGATTTTATTTTCCTCCCTTTTACAGATCCCCTATTATGAGATTGAGACGCTAACAAGACTTGAGTTGGTGGAATATTTACAAAGAAAACTCTTTTCTCAAAACGCTGGCGTTTGCTGGTAACAAGAAGCGCTACTGGCTTCAGAACTCATATCATGAAGGAACTTGGTTTTCCTGGGACTCGGTATAAGGAAAAATGGAATCGGCGACTCAGCCGTGTGTTTGCCGGCAGCAGTGGTCCGGACAGCTCCTGGACGTCTCCGCACGCACGTACACAGCTGTCGCTGGGGAACGTAGTTGTACTTATTTACTACTAGTACCACAGATACTTTTATACAGTAAACAGAAACGATCACGTATCATCACGTACGTAATGAGCGTTATTTTTACATCTCTCGTCTGGTAACAGTTATCTAACTGACGATACGCTTTAGAGACCTTCGCTTCCTCTTCTCACAAACGGAAGGAAGACGTTTTACCTCCCACGTCCTTTTGAATTTTCTTAGACAAAGTAATGGGAGGAGGACTGGTGAAAACCAGAGTCCTTTGGGTATAAACATTTATAATTACAGAATTATGCAGAAATAACCCTTTAATAAGAAAGTGTTTTGTCTTAGTACGGGAGCTTTTATATTTTTTTAATGAAGATATAGGGACATGGAAATGCTTAATTTAGGTAGGGTTTTTGGGCGGTGTTTGGTAGGAGAAGCTTCTGAGTTTTAAATCGAGTGGATTACATTGTCGTTAGCTCACTGCAGACGTGTCATTATTCCATCTGAGCCTGATGAACGTTCCCGGGAGGGAGGACAAGGAGGCGGCCAGCTTGTTCTGTGGCCCTGGGCAAGGAGACGGGCTGCTCTCTGCCCCTAACCATGCGGCGCCCATGCCCAGCACTCGGGCTTCACGCCATGTGGATGTTGGAGCCTTCTGACCGGGGTGCTGCCCCCCGTTTACAGACGAGTGGGCCAGCTCAGGGGAGGACTGCCCTACGCAGCCCTTCACACCTCACGGGTGGTGAATGAGATTTCAGTGAGAAGCAGGGGACCTCAGTGGCTAAGGCTCTAGCCTAGTTTGAGTTCCAGCTTCGCCACGTGCTAACCGCTTGACCATGGGCCTGTTTCCTCCGGGATAATTAATAGTAACAGGCTTGTGAGTAGTCTCCTGGGACTGCTGCAACCAAGTACCACAGAGTGGGTGGCTTAAAACAACAGAAATGTCTTTTCTCACAGTTCTGGGGGCTAGACGTCCAAAATCGAGGTGTCGGCTGGGCCGTGCGCCCTGTGAAGCCTCTGCAGGGGGCCCCTTCCTGTCCTCTTGCGGCATCTGTGGCCCCAGGTGTGCCTTGGTTTGTGGCAGCGTCACTCCAGCCTCGGCCTTTCACATGGCCATCTTCCCTTTGGGTATTTGTGTCTTCACAGCAGCCACATGGGATTAGAACTCCCTCCCCCCCAACAACTTCATCTTAACCGTGATCAACCTGCAAAGACCCTAGGCCCAAATAAGGTCACTACAGGCACTGGGGGTCAGGACTTAAATGTCCCTTTTTTTGGAGGGAGGGGCGGTGCATAATTCACTAGGCTGAAATGAGAATCGGAGTTAATAAATGTAAAACGTAGAAAACCGCCTAGTGGAGTAGGCACGCAGTGTGGGTTCGCCGGAGTCGGCTGCTCTGAATTTCCACCCCATCCTGCTCTGTACTTCACTTCACCTTTTTAGGTCTGTCTATCTTCAGAAGAGGAAATGGAGACGAGGGGGTGAGCTCTAAGGTCATTCTTTCAAGTTTACGCCTCTAATCGCAAAGAGGGAAAGCGACAATGGAAGCAAATGTTGATTGACTAGGAGGGGAGCTATGATTCTGCTGTATCCCTGTGCCCAGGTGACCTTGCCGCTCCCTCCCCAGCCTCTAGGCCAGCCCTGGTGCCCATGACTCAGCTCATGCTTGGGTATGAAACAACCCTGAGATGAGAAGTAAACAGCTTACGGTTTAAAGAAGGGAGAGAGACTTAACTCAACAGCCACACGAGGAGGTAATGACAGCCAGTTATAAATGCCACGAAGGGGAAGCACAGCCTAACGCGTTTCCTCCACCTTTCCACCTGCCCTGCCTCCATCGTGATGTCTCCTGGTTGTTCTAACTAGAACCAGACACGGCTCCCTCTGCACTTCTGGCTACAGCCTCCATTGAGCCTTTGTGCCATGTGGCTCCCCAACCCGTGTCCTTCATTCACCAAACATTCCTTAGAGAGCATCCAAGAAATGCCAGAAGGAGCAGACAGGAGCCCTGCCAGGGGGCCGGGAGTCGGCGAAATAAATGAAGGAGCAGATGAAGACTGAGGGGTCGCATTCCCGAAGCATGAGCGAGACTCAGAACGCAGAAGACCAGGCCTGCCTGGGAGTAAGGAAGGCTTCTTGTCCTGATGGAGGGAGGGAGGGAGGGAACAGGTCTAAGCTTGCTGGTTTCACCAGCTGTAGTGAGTCTGACAAGCTCTGTCAAATTATAAAGCCAAGTCCTTACAAACTGATTTCTCAGGTCGCTACATTTTAATATCTACCTATGTAAGCAAAGCAGTGTTATTGTGCTTTTTTAAAATTACATGTCACCATGTATTATATTAGTAATGTTTTTGAATAAGATGTAATATTTCTGCAGTTTTTCAAAGGAAAAATTCAGAGAAAGAAAAACTGATGAAAAAAATTGCTTTAACCTTCAAACATTACCCCTTAGGCACAGTGACATTCTTCGTGTCTGCCACTAGGGGGCAGCAAAGGTTAGGACATTTTGGGGGGCTTTAGCAGTTAAAAGGATGATTCCAGGAGAGGTGGGGCGGGAGAGAGGGAGAGAGATGGTGTGTGTATATGTGTGCGTGTGTGCGTGTCGGGGAGCAAGAGCTGGGGAAGGATGCAGTGCGTGTGTGCGTGTCGGGAGCAAGAGCTGTGGAAGGTTGCAGTGACAGACACTTCTACCTGAACAAAACAGCACTTGGCCTCGCGGGCCTAGACAGCAGAGGGGTGCTGCTGTGCCGGATGAAGACGTGCCTTCCGAATCTCTGCACACCCGGGTGCATATGGCGACCCGGTAAACATCTGTGAGATGGCGGGAGGAACAGGAAGGAGCAAAATTCTGCGTATTTGATAGATTTCTGGAAAAACAAAGTCAGTTCCCTCTATAAAGCGACATCTGCTGGAAGACTGTGCAAATGCAGGGAGGGGGTGCTGGCCCTGTGGGGCTGAAGGAGGTGACTTCACCTCCAAAGGCTACTGTGTCCCCAAGACGGAAACATACCAGACCCACTAGGAGTCTTAACACGGAGAGTAGCGCTGTGAATGAGGCACCCGTGCCGTGTAAAATGCCAGCCAGCCCGGGACAGCAGGTGCTCAGGACACCTCGTGGGCTGTTCTGTACACGCATCGTGTTACCTCCGCAGTTAAGCATCATGACCACGCGTGGTGAGGACGCCGGCTGGGAGTGCTCCAGCAGGGGGAGCACGACCCACTGGCTGGTGGCGACTCTGGGGGTACAACACGGACCTGTGGCAACCGCTTTTGTTAATTAGCATCAAGGACATCGTGCTGAGGGACCTCGTTCTCGAATCCCCTCGGCAAGAACGGGACATCCCGTTGCCAGAGGGACCTGAGCCACATTGTCACACAGAGACGTAGCCTGTTTCCAACGCAACGCAGTGCTGCAGCTACGGGGATTTCGGACACGTCATCCCACGCCACGCCATCCCACGCCACGCCATCCCACGCCACGCCGTCTGGCCTTGGAGAATCCCAGCCAGGCCCAACTCTGACGCTTTCACACACACCTGCTGCGCCCCGGGGCCGTCCCACCCAGTGTGCTCATTCACCCCAACCCGCCCTGTCCCCACCTCGGCTTGGCTGTCCCTCGGTCCCTCTGCTGTGCCGCCTTTCTTGACACGACCACCGAAGAGGTTAACATTTTGCTGGTATTCTTTGCCCGTTGGGCTTCATTATAAGAAATTTTGCCTTAATATACATAATCCCATCTCAGAAAAACAACCGTCTCCCAACCCCTCCCACAGTCCCTGGCATACAGCGCGCACTATTTGAGGCTTGAACTGACATTTTGGGTCCTGATGTTTGCAAGAAATGGTATCTCTTGACAACGCTACTGTAACTTTGATTATGGAAAACTTTGAACACACATAGAGGAGAAACGGTCGTACAATGAATCCAAGCGATCTCTTTGGCATGAAAAATTGCTGACACTTTCCAATCACGCTCCATCTACCTTTTCTTTTTTATTGAAATGTTTGGAGAAACGTCCAAGCTATCATATGCTTTTCTCTTAAATACTTCAGTATGCATCCAAAACCGATACATTTTTTCCTGTTTAATAACTATTCTGCATTATTACAACTAACGAAATTAATTATTCCCTATGATCATTTACTATTTGGCCTATGTTCTAAGTTTCCTATACTGTCTAAAAAGTAATTTTTTAACTGTTGGTTTGTTTGGGTCAGGATCCAAACGAAGTGCACATTTTCCTTCTAGATGTCATACACCACCTAAGACCTAGTCTCCTCTGTCTATAAATGCACCCCCGCTCCCAGGCTTCCTGTCTTTTACCTACTGGAGAAATCATATCAATCGCCCTATAAAATGTCACACATTGTCGATTTGGTGTTATCCAAACACCAAGCTTGTTCCATTGTCTGCTGCACTGCCTGTTACACTTTAAAAGATAGATCCAGAGGTTTGCTTAGACTCGGCTTAAATTCTTTTGACAAGGGTGCTTCGGAGGTGCTGTGTATTTGCTTCACATCATACTGTGTCCCATTGTCCCCTTAGAGGCATTAAGATTGATCAGTGGATTCTGTATCACCAGGCGAATCCATGAACTCTACAGTCCTCATCGACCTTTCAGTCGGTGATTTAGCATCTGCTGATTGTTGCTAAGATCCATTGTTCTAGGTGTTAAAAAGTGACTCCCTAATTCCGTCATCCCTTCTATTAGCTTGTATTTGTCTATAAAGAAATTTCTCCTTTCAACAATTTGCGTACCCTCAAAAAAGGCTTATGCAGGAAGAAACAAGACCATTGTTCCTGTCTTGCACTAATTTTTAGAATAAAGAGTTGGTGCTCTGGTCAGTTTTTCTTTTTTTGTTTTAGGATATTTATGAACTCATGAAATTTTATATATTTGATGTGCTTGCATCCATTCGCTGTCTCTTTGATGCTGAAATGTCCCATTTTAGGCTAATGGGGCAGCCATCAGGCGGGTCCCTTTGTCTTTTTGGCCTCATCACATAAGTTTTTGAAAATTTCTCAGTGCTCCTTGCTAAAGCTGTCACTACTGGAGAATTTTTTTCATTTTGGGCATCATCGAAAATCATGTTCATTTTTGTTCCAATATCAACAAGGTGAACAACACCAAAATTAAATAAATGTACATTTATGTTCTTGATTCATAAGTTTGATGCTTAAAGCGACTAACCACGGGGACTCTATCAACCGAATGAGCTATCTTACAGGAAAAACCTGATGACAAATAGCCTTTCTACATCAGCGGACGATATCCACGCCTCTTGGCCAGGGAGGAGGCGTAGAATACCGTACAGACTTGCCGCATTCCACCATGGGCTGCTGCCCCGGCCCACGTATGGTGGGGGTGCTGTGGAGGGGCGTGGCTCCCCTGTTCCAGGAGCCAAGGCGGAGCCATTGTTCTCACCGCTCGACAGCACCGACCGGCAGCCGGCGTGGGCAGGTTACCTGGGCTTGCGGGGGCAGCACTCATAACCCGGAGTCACAATGCTCGTTACGGTTGCCGGATACACAGCCGGGCGGTTCTCCTTCTGGCTAGTGACAAATACCTGTGTTTACACATCCAGCCCTCCTACCGCCCATCAGCTCAGTGAATTTGCAGCCAAGGGAATAGACCTATGGAACCAGCATTCCGACAGGGACAACACAACGCTGTTCACAGAGGGTCGCTAGAGCTCACCCGGAGCAGCTGAGTGTTGCGGGATTTTGTATCACGCTGACTTAATTCACGGAAGCTTTACACCTGCCCTGGCCAAACCCACGTGTTGCCACCGAGCACCTGAAACAAGGCTAGCGCCACCCGTTGAAACGATAAGTTTTGAACATACTGAGTTAAAGATATATATTACAATTCATTTAACCTGTGTCTTTTTACCTTCTTAGTGTGATTGTCGGAAAGTTTTCAATCACCCGTGTGGCTCTCACTCCGCTCCCGCCGGGCGGCGCTGCTATGGACCTCTAAGGTACTTACCCTTTTCTCCTGTACGGGTCTTCGCAGCCGGACCGAGCTCCACGTGGACGCGGGCTGTGTGGTTCCAGGCTGCAGTCGCAGGGCTGCATAGTAGGGGCACGGGCATCGGCTGCCCAGAGAACGGTCTCTGAGTGCGCGAGCCCACCCAGAGCGGGGAAGGGTGAGCGGCGTGGAAAGTACGGACCCCAGTGGCTCTCCTACCCGGGAATCTGGGCGCAGCCGCTTTAGCAGCTGGGGCTCCGCCCCTGGACGCACCACGAAAGGGCGACCTGGGTGTGAGGCCTGCAGACCCGAGCAAGGGTGTAGGGTCGGTCCCGCCCGAAGCCCCGCCCCTCGTATAGGCCACGCCCCTCGCCTCGGCCCCTCCCCTCCGCCCCGCCTAGCAACGCGCGGCCGCGGTATCCTAGCGACGGCCTAAAGCGGGCACCTCAGGCCAGCGGACCGGGACTGGGTTTCCAGCCCGCAGGACCGAGCCCCAAGGCCGCGGGGGCGCTGGACGCGGGCCGCATGGAGGACGACGAGGAGGAGATCACCGCCGCCGCGCTGCGGGGCAGGCCCCGGCCGCTGCCCATCTCGGCGCTGTCCGCCTTCAGCTACGTCCCGCCGCGGCGCCTGGACCCCAAGGAGCACAGCTACTACTACCGCCAGGGCCAGGTACGCCGCGGGGGCCGCACGGCGGGGCGCCGCGGGGCTGTGGATCTGGGGGTTCTTGAGGGCGGGGGCGGGGCTGCACTGCCCGGAAGGGGGCCAAGGAGGGGGCCAGAGGAGGGGCGATCCCGGAGCGGCTGCGCCGCCAGGCGGTGGCCTCGGGGTGGTGCTGCTTTCTGGTGTAGAGCTCCGGGGGCGGGTCTGCACTGGGGGCCGGGGGCCTGCTGGGTGGACCCCAAAGATCACAGTTAGCCGACCCCCAAAGTACGGTTGACAGCCTCCCGCCACAGAGGATGGGCAGGGCCCAGCCGCGTGTGGGGTCGTGCTGCGCTGGGACCAGGGGCTGGGGACCCCGGCGTGCGGAGTGCGCAGGTGTGTGTGGAGGGCTGTTTAGCCCGTGTCCCGAGGCATCTGGGGTGGGCTGGGGCCGAGTGCTCCTCAGGGAAGGGAGGCAGAGTCTCTGGGCTTCTAACCGCCACCGCCTCCCGGAACGGCCCGGGCACCCTACCCAGGATATGGAGGAGGGTTCCCTGGCTCTGGGGGCACAGGATAGCCGGGGTCAGCCACAGCCCCGGGGTAGCCGGGGTCAGCCACAGCCTGAAACCCTCGCCAAGTGACTGCCCCACAAGTCCAGGGCACAGAAACCCTTCTAGAAGCCCCCCTACAAACCGAAGACAAGAAGACTGATCACCCCCTGCAGCGGGAGCAGGGCCGAGAGCGCTCCCTGTGTTCCCCCGCCTCGCCTGGCACGTGCGCGGGCAGAGCCTGCGTGACTGCGAAGGCCGCGGTGCCGCCAAGGCAGGAAGAGACGCCAGAGAAAATGAAAGAAATCAGAACTTGTCGGGGTCGTCTATTCCTTTTTTTCTGTTTTTTTTTTTTCCTAAATGTCTCCAGGGCTTTCCCTCAGGGTGCACGAGGTGTCCCCACAAAACACACCATTTTCTTCTTCCCACCTACAGGCCCTAGGCCCAAATGAATCTGCATACAGATCAGGTCAGCATGCATCTGAGCACTTGTCACAAGTGAATGTAAGAGAATGTAAGGGAGCTTAGCCTTACAGACAGAGGCCATAGTTTCCGGTTTAGACAACGGGCTAGGGGTTGAATCATGTCCCTGTCAAATTCTCATGTTAGTGTCGGAATCCCTGGCATCTCAGAATGTGACCTTATTTGACGACAAGTAATCAAAGTAAAGAGGTCATTAGCCTCACCCAGTATGACTGGCGTCCCTATTAAAAGGAATCGACACAGATGCACAGCAGGAAGACGGTGTGGATAGACGGGGAGACTGCCCTCTGGGAGCCAGGGAGGGAGCCTGGGACGGACCTTTCCCTCACAGCCCCAGGAGAAGCCAGCCAGAGCTGCCACACAGCTAGTTTCTGTCGAAGCCCCCGGTCAGCGCGCTTTGTTTTGGCGGCCTGAGGAAACACAGACTTCAGCCAGAAGCATCTCCTGTGTCTGTTTGCACCTCTCTGCTTGGCTCTGAACAATGTGGAAGGATGAAGAAAGGGGACATCTGTAGGGCATCTGTCTTTGTGACCCTGTTTGCTGGCTCTTCTCAGCTTGAGTATTCACTGGGAACGGAAGGAGGATTTAGAGCGATGATTCCTAAACTTGATGCCACTATGGACCTTGTGTTTTTTTCTCATATGAGCAATACATCTCGAAAGAATTTTTATCTGTAAATAATTTCACTTATTAAATGAATTTTACATTTTAAGTATACAAAACCTAATTTATTGCCAAGTAATTTATGATTCATGCTGAGCTCCAGCCAAAAAACAAGGTGTCTCGATGTCTTAAGTTTGTGTTGTTTTATTGAGAGAATAGACATTTTGTCGGGCTTCTTGACATGAAAAAATCCACAATCACTATTTTATGGGTATCTTCGAGGGGTCTTTTAGTTACCACCTTGAAGCTACTGGAAAATAAGATAAAAGACTAAGCAGTTGACCTATTTATCAGAGGTAAGAGCCAGGTCGCAGGATACCACTAGGGACTCTAGGCACATAGGTTTGGAGATGCGAAGCTCGGAATGGGGCAGATTTACCCACCTGCCCACCACAGCTGTGGGACCCACAAAAAGCCAGTGGAACCTCCACCCTCTCATGGGCTGGGCAATACCAAGGGCAAAGGGGCAGAGTTGAATCTGGAAGGCCAAGCTTATTTTTCTAAGTTCACCTTTCTGGGGCTGAATCACTGACGGGCAGAGAGACGCCAGAGGCGTAAGTGACCCGGGTGCCATACTTGGGAGGAGGTGGGGTGTGGGCAGAAAGAGTACCCTCTAATGCAGGGGTCGGCACAGGAAGCCCTCTGGGCCAAATCTGGCCCACTGCTTGTTTTTAATAAAGTTTTATTAGAACACAGCCACAGGCCCATTGATTTTAGTACCGTCTATGGCTACTAGACAGAGTTGACAGCATTGACAGAGACCATGTGACCTGAAAGCCTAACACTGACTATCTGTCCCTTTACAGAAAACATTTGCCAACCCCTGTATCACTGCCTCTGGATGATTAGGTGGACCTTAGAACAAAGTAATGCAAAGTAGATTTTAAGGAAAAAAATTCAGTGTAGTTTTGAGAGCCCGGGAGCAGGCAAATTCAAATCCTGAGGCCTTTAGTGTCACGAAGAAAATGATGCAACCGAGATATCGACAACTAAAATTCTCCCGGGCATTATCTGAACCGGCAATTCATCAGCTGCAAGACACCAAAAGCCGATTCTCTGACCTTGAGATCATTTGGACAAAGGAAGGGGGACTCTGTATCACAGGTTTGCGGGCGTCTCTGTCACCCCTGGGTTCATCGTAAATGACTCTGGGCCCCACTCAAAGCTGAGAGGAGAGGCGCTGTTTCAGGTGGCGTTGTGTACTCAGCGACCAGTCGGCAGCATGGCCACGGCGTCCTGGGTAGAAACATTGCTCCGTGTTCCCAGCCATGAGCCTCCCAGGTCACAGACACTCCATCTCACTTTGCCCATCTAGGAAACAGGGGTCAAACGGTTCCCCCACATGGAGCTTTCATGAGCACCAATTCAACGGTGTAACAATGTGGCACAACGTAACAACGTAAGCCCCGTGCAAGTAGAGTCGCTATCACTATTATCGTTTGCTTTCGGCAGTGATGATCGGAGCGTCCCTTCACTGAGGGTTGGTTCCCAGGGCCCGTGTCTTATCCCCTACCCTCAGCCGCTGTCCAAGATGGATACAGGGGAGGCAGGTACTCCGAGCATCAATCTGGTGGCTTCTAATCCCCTAAGGCTTCTCGCCTGAGGGAGCCCAAAGTTAAAGCTCTCAGCTCAGCACACTTATTTAGGGTCCCCATAATGCTCTGGTCTTAAGACAAATTTGTCTTCTCAAGCTGCTAGCTACAATGCCATTGACCTGTCCGCTCCCTAGGGGGCTCTAGCTGCATGGGCTTTTCCTGTAAAATGTTGTTCCGGGGGCTGCAAAGCAAATTCTATTCAATGCTGTTTTTAAATTACATTTTCCTTCTTCCACCTTGTGCAACGTTTATGCTCCTGAGATGGAAAAGCTAAGTCAAAGGTGAATGCCCTTTTATGAAGGTTTTGATTAAATTTCTCAGTCTAAAAAAAAAAAATCCTAGGTGGTTTTAGAATAGGCTTTCCCTGGCGGGCTGTGGCTAGTTCTGTCTCGAGCAAAGCTTTGCGCAGGAAGCCCACTTTAGCTTTGGTGGGATCAGCTGGTTTT